CACCTGGCAGAAAGCTCTACCCTGGGGTCAGTGGCTAGATCACCTGGGTCCCTGGCCCAAGCCTTGTCCAGCTCCGGACAAGGGCCTGGCCTGGCAGCGGCCCCAAACCCCAGCTCTTCCTCCCTGGAGTGAGCAACAGGCTCACTGACCACACAAATATCCACCAGGGCTGGGGAAGGGCTGGACTGCCGCCCACTTGGATGCGGGGGATGCGGCTGAGAACAGGGTGTAGCACTTGGCTCTGTGCAAAATTAGCCTAGAAATGCTAAAAGCAGGCAGCAGCATCCAGGATAGTTGTGTGCACCAAGTCCTAGGTCAGGGACAGCGTGTCTTCCCTGAACTGGACCAATGTGATGGGGGAGCCACTGCAGCATTTCCTCTGCTAGGCAACTCCATGCATCCTCTCTTGTTTTCCAAATATGAATGCAGGGCTGTTTCACTTGGACAGACTTGCACCTAACAGCAAGCAGAGCCTGCCTGGGTGCGATTGAGAGCTTGAGATCTGTGGAAGGGGGAAAGTACAAGAAGATGTGCAGGATTTGCTGGCAGCCGGAGAGAGGCCAGGGAGTGCATGGGGTGGATGAGCTGGGCGAATGCCCGTGGCCCGAACCAGACAGCTGCGGTGAGTCTGCCGTGCTGGGTGCCTGGCAGGAAAACGGAGCTGATCCTCATGGCCGCGGGGTGTAAATTGTGACGAAGCCCTGCTTCCTCGCCAGCTGCCACCTCCACTTGCAGGATTGGTTTGTTTACAGAGTGATCACTCAAAAACACGCTGTCGCTGCCTGGCTTGAACTCCTGAACTTGGTCCCTGGCAGCAGGGAGAGAGACGGCCTCGTGCCCAGAGCTAATAATACCGTGTCCCTTCCTGCCCCACGTGGTCATCCCATGGGGCATCGCTGGCAGAGGAAGAATTGGGGATGGAGCCAGGTGTTCCTCTGCAGTTTGGGCAGAGCCCTGATCCTGTGGGTCCCTGCACCCTTCTCCAGGCAGCGTTGAGTCCCAGCTTCCCTTAGGGTTGTGTTTGAGTTGCTTTTCTGGGGGCCTTGAGGGTCCTGAGCTTTTCTGTCCCCCTTATGCTATGCCTGACTTGCTCACTGAGCTGGCCTTCAGCCGATAGCAGCCTCCGCCGACGCATGCAGCGTGGTTTGTCCGATGGTCTCTTCCTGACAGCGCCGAAAATAGCCCAGTGCCAAATGCTTTGCCTGCTACAGCTGCGCTCAGCAGCTCCGATGCTGCCTGTGTGCAGTGGGGCAGAGGGACCAGCTTCGCCTGCTGCCCCAAGGGTTCCTGCATTGGCACTGTCACTGCACCGCCCGCAGCACGTAGATCCACCCCAGGTTCCCAGGGGCTCCCCGAGAGCATCCGCAGCATGCAGGAGGGCGAAGGTGTGCACAAAAGTTGCTGATGCTCATGGGATGCTGTTTGCAGTGACCGCTGCTCTGAGAGGAGGAGGCCTTGCTATGAGAGCATAGCAAGCTGCTGCCTGCCCTAGCAGCACGGCATTGGTGCCTTTCCAGGGGCCGGGTTGGACCCCAGACCCATCTTACTTTGTCAAAGTGATGTGCAAAAGCAAGATGTCCAAGACATGACCTCCACCTTCAGATTGATGCCAGCCCTGCTGGGGCAAATGTGGCCCACACACCCTGGGGGATGGGGACCACCCCCAGCTGAACCTGGCACGCTTCATCCATGAAGGCGGTGCTGTCTGCGAGCGCTGCCCGTGCAGCCGGAGCCCAGGATCAGGGGAGCATGGTGCCACGGAGGGCTCAGCACCCTTATCCCCCGGCCCACCCTTAAGGGTAATTGTCAGCTATCAGGGAGCTGGGGGCTGCGCTGAAGCTCTTGGAGAAGACAGCGCTTGGGTGAAGTTTGCTGCCTGGAAAGGGATCGACGTAGCAAGTGAACACTCACCTCTGTTAAGGCTACGATCCTCCCCTCCTGGCAGCTCCTGGCAAACATATCCTGGAAACAAGGCTGTGAACAGAAGCGACTCCAGGAGGAAATGGCAGGTTGCTGCTTTATCAATACCTGTTATTAACCGTGTAATTATAGGGCTCACAACCAAGGGGACTGATTGCAAATGCAGCTGGGAGGAAAAAAATCTGCTGTGCCATCAGCGTGGGCTGGTTTGAGCAGACACAACGGGGGGTGACTGCTGCGCCAGTGAGCAGCCCCGCTCAGGCAGCGTCCCGCACAGCAGCCGCCCCGAGCTCACCCGCCAAAGGCAGGACACCAGGAGATACCTCCTGGCGCTTGGTGCCCAAGGCAGGAGAGCCCTGATTAAAGGTGATACCATCGCAACCCTGGCATGAGACGGTGTCTGTACAGAGTCCAAGGCGTATTCGATACCGACCCGGAGGAGCTGGTGCAGCCATGTGCCAAATTGGTTAGGCATCTCCTGGCGTTTGTGTGCTGCGGCGGCAAGAGGTGCCGAGGACTGCTTGCACGATGCATCGGCCGCGTCGGAGCCTGCTGACACCTCTGCGTTTCCTGGGGTTGCAAGATGGGCAGAGCTGAGGCACCGGCTCACCGGCTCCAGCACCCTGCCTGCGCCCGCGTGGGCAGGGAGGACGTGCGAGTGCAGAGCGCGATGCAGCCGGACACTGCTGCCCCTCGCCAGTTTGGCAGCACAAGAGGCATCTGGACTAGACAAAGCTTTTGTGAGCTGCTGATACACGTAAGCGCTTGTGGAGGGAGCGAGCCGGCGCACGCACGTGACGCTGCTGGGCAGAATCGCTGCAGCTCACAGCTTGACCCAGTGTGTGGGCAGCGAGCAGCTTCCCAGTGCCAGCAGGCCCGAGAAATGTGGCATGGGAGCAATTGCTCTTTGGACGTGGCGTGAAAACGTACAGCTCCCCAGAGCCTGGATGGGCCTCTCTGCAAATTGTCAGCCAAAGCAGGAATTCAAGCAAAGAGGAGGAATAAAGCAGGGCTGAGGGTCTCCCTGCAAAGAAGGGCTGGAAAAGGGGAGCTGTTTGGATGCTGCAGGCAGGGAGTGTCGACTGCCTGCAGCATTGGTTTCATCAAGGGAAATGCTTTCCCCGAGGAAATGTGGCAGGGGTGATCCTGGCACCCAGGATCTACCCGGGACCTGGCTCCAGTCAGGGAGCTGGTGCTGGGAGGGGGCATCCCGGCTGGCCACGTCTCCTCGCACAGCAGTCGAGAGCCGAGCAGGATCTCACTTGGTGCCGGCATTCCCCACCTGGGGCAGCTCTGGGAAGAGGCTGGAGGGCCAGCGTCCTCCTCTGCCGGGCCTGGCGGAGCCACTCGCCGGCGCTCATATCGGATAAGGCGTTGTCTGGAAAGGGGCTTATCAGGAGCCGCTGGGCCTAGGGTTCGCTGGGAACAGCCCGATTCCCAACTCAGGGCTCTCTTTGTTTTTGGTGCTTTCCCAGAAGGCCGAAGAGCATTGTTCCTGCAGCCCCGGCGCCCCGGCCCCCAGATGCAGACAGATGTTCCAGCAGGTCTGAGCTGAACAATTGCATCTGCTGGCCTCCGCCGGCGGTGAGGTCACCCCTTGGACCGCGTCCCGCGCTGGCGTTTCTTTTCCTCCCTCGTTTTGTTGGGCTTGCAGGTTTGTTCCTGCAAGTCTGCTTGGTTTTATCGCAGTCAATAGTTTGCACCTTTTCCCCTTCTGAATGCCCTTCATCGTGCCGTGAAATGCTTGTGGGGTCCGCCGCCTTATGCTAAATGCCAGGCTCTTATGTGCGTCCAGATGCCAGAGGGAGGACAGGAGTATCCTGCTGGCTGTCCTTGCTCTGCCAGTCCGTGCCTGGCTCCTGGGAAAAACCACACTTGTGTGGCTAGAAATGTTGTCCGTCCCTGCTTTGCCCAGCAAAGCCCTGCTGCAAGGCCCCCATCTTCCTCACCAGGGGCCTCTGCCAGGACAAGCCCTTGTGTGTGTCACCTACAGAGCCGTTCGGTGATGTCCTTCTGCCCGAGAGGGAGCAGGGATACAGGTGGGCAGTGGGGACCCAGTAGCAGCCAGAAGGTGCCATTTAGCCTCTTCTTCCCCCTTAAATCAGGGTCTCGAGCTACCCCCACGAGCAGCCTGGACGTTTCTTCCAGCCCTGCCTGCTTTCTAGGGGCTGGGGTCTCTTGGCTGGAGCGAAGGGCCTCTCGCAGCCCAAAATACCCAGCACGCAGCCTGGGGCGAGCCGAGCTGGCTCTGAGCTTGCTGCTTTATCGCTCTATTTTGAGCATTTCTTTGCATTTCTTTTTCTCCCTGCCGTGCCTTACCCCGTGTTATCAGCCAGCAGAGGTTATCCTTGCTCTGCACCTACTATGGAAGTGCTCTGGCTGCAGCAAGCTAATTTTAGAGGTGATGGAGGGAGCAGTGGCCGTGCCGAGAGCCCCTCACCGCAGATAACCGAGAGCTGCCAAGTGCCGGCAGACTTGGAGGGGATAAGCCAGGCTCTGCAGTGTGCTGCGGAAACCAGGCAGGGCTGTGAAGGAGCAGGGGAACAGCGGCTTTTTCAAGGCTGCCCGGGAATTTGGGTTGTCCCCAAGGTTGTCCTATCGGGAGGAGAGCTGGGAGCTCTGTCCCAGGGACAGGAGCCAGTTGTCTCTGCAGAGCTGGGGTGTCCCAGTACCTGGGGCGAATGCATGCAGGGTGGGAGCAGCGTTGCAGCTATCTGAGGCGTTTTGGACAAAACTAGCAGGAGTCAGCCCGGATCCTGCACTTGGGAAACTTCACAGCTGGGGAGGGAGTTGCTTAAGCCTGAGACAAGCTGTACTGGGCTTTTGCAAAAGCAGAAAGACTCAGGCAACCCCCGGGCTGTATCTGGAAGGGAACCAAGCGGGCTCATCCCCTGGCCCCTTGCCCACCTGCAACGCCACCCAGATGTGAGCCGTCAGCCAGAAGCAGCCAGGTCCCTCCCTGCATCCCACCAGCCTGGCTGCGGCTGCGCTCAGCCCCCGGCCCCCAGCAGCAAGGATGGACCTCGCATGGGCTGGGACCCACCTACGATGACGTTGCTTTGCAAGAGCTCTTGTTTTCTTTTCCAAAGCAGATTTCTCTGCTGAGAATCGTGTCTGTAAAGGCTCAGCCGCCCGGCGAGCTCGGCGCCCGCGACAGCCTCGTTATTTCAGCCCGTTCTCCTGAGCTCTGACTCATGACTTTGCACGCTCAGAGCTGGCAGCGCCTCCTCTGATCTGAAGCCCAGGCGGCCTCAGCCGTCCCAGACTAGACTCCGAAACGTTCCTTAAATGTACAAACAATCCTCAGCCTCACAGACAGTTCGATGCTAACCCGCCCAGGAAGCTGGCCGGCAAGCAGAGCTCTCCGCGCTGAGCCCCGCTGCTCGAGCCACCCAGCAGCAGGTGCACCAGAGGCTTTTGGGAGCTGGGACAAATCTCGCAGACTTGAGATGGAGGCAGAGAGACACCCGGTGCCTGGCTGATGGCTGGGGAGAGGCGAGCCCGTGTCCCATGGGGATGCTCCCTAGGCTTGCAGTTTGGGCACCCGGGTCATGCTGGTCAGATGGGGCTCACCAGCTGGTGCTGGTCCGATTTACAAGGTTTTGCAGAACTGGGACCCTGTGTCGTTTCAGGTTGATGGTGCCCTGGTTGGTGGCGTTGGCGTCCCCAGGGAGAAGATGGCCCAGCCTGCACACCTGAACCAGAACCTCCCAGGTAAAGGGACCGGCGGCCGCTCACAGGGGACACGGCGGGGACATCACCAGGCAGGAGGCAGCAGAAGGAGCATTAGGAAAGTAGCAGGGCTGAGCTGTCAGGGCCCAATGAGCTAAACACGGAGGTTTCCTGGCATGTCCTCACTCCAGCACTAAGCTGCTTGCAGCAGAGTGGGTGCCTTGAAGCACCCAACTGCACCGAGCACCCTGGTTAAACCTCCACCGTGAAGCTGGGTGCAAAGCTGTTGTGATGCCAGGAAAAAGCCATCCTTCATGCCTTTTTTCAGCCGTATCAGAGGGGTGGGCCGCGGGGTGCAAATCCCAGCTCGCCCAGTATAACCTATTTGGAGAGCCTTCCTGTCACTGCCTAAGCCTCCCAGCCTCTCCCTGCTTGTCTTGCAGATCTCGGGGGCCCGTTCTTATACAGGGACCAGGACGATGGGGAGAAGAGCTCGTATTCGGTGGAAACCCCCTACGGCTTCCTCTTAGACCTGGATTTTCTGAAATACGTCGATGACATCGAAAGCGGCCAGACTCTCAAGAAAGTGCCGCTGCCTCGGAGGGCGAAAGGGGCCAGGCAGCAGCCCACCCCCCCCAGCCATGCCAGCGGCTGGACGTCCACTGAGTCCCTCACCTCCACGGCCAGTGAGGAGGGGAGGACCACGTTCCTGCTGTCCCCACATGGCCGGGTGCCCCTGGAGACACAGGAGCCCCTGAGCAAACAAGCCTCCCACCCCGTGTCTCCGACACCAGCGCTAAGGCTGCTCCCGCCACCTGCCCGCAAGTGCCTCATGCGAAACCCCCAGGTGGAAAAGACCTTGCTGGAGACGAGCAGGAGGCTGGAGCAGGAGCAGGGTCATTTGCTGGAAAGCAGGAACGCCGTCGCGCCCGGTCCACCCAGTCCCTCCCGGAGCAGCAGCTCGGCTGGCCCCAGCGGCACACTGGTCACCCCGAGCCAGCCACCTGCCTGGGGCCCCTCCGGTGGGAATGGCGAAGGCCAGGCTGTGCTGAGCCCCTCGCTCATGGGCTCCACCAGGATGAGTCCCTCCACCTCGGGGCACAGCACGCCGGCCGCGGGGCTCAGTGCTGTGCAGCTGCAGCATGTGCGGGAGCAGATGGCTGCCGCCCTCCGGCAGCTCAGGGAGCTGGAGGAGCAAGTGAAGACCATCCCCATCCTGGAGATGAAGATCTGCGAGCTGAAGCAGGAGAAGGCAAAGCTGCTGGAGAAGCTGTCGGTGGAACCTGGCGAAGCTTTTCGCTTGCCCTCGCAGCCCCCCAGCGCCGGGGCAATCAGTGGGGGTGAGCTGGAGAGCGATGCAGAGCCAACAAAGGCGCGAGTGAGTAAAATCGCGGAGCTGAGGAAGCTCACAGAGAAGCTGTCCGTGTCAGAGAGGAATGGAAAAAGCAGCCGGGCCGCTCGCCCCACC